GGGGCTGCGATCACTTTGTCACGAAGGTTTCGTCACGGCCTTTCAAAAGCGTGACGACCTCCCAGCACAAGCGAGATTCGCGAGGTTGTAGAAGCAGCCGTTCGCGAGACGACTGTCATGGTACTTTTTTCCTGTTCTTGTTCTTCCAGTTGTGTCGCATTTCGTCAATTTCAAAAGAAACGCTGTCAAGTACCAACCACAACGACGATGCCTTCTTTTTGGCGATGTCGTCTCGTCACGCGGCGACAACACTCTGTCCAAAGCATCACCTGACGAAACTGTCAAATGTCTATGAGACGTGACGAATCATGCAAGGCCAGTGCCAAAAGATACTGGAGTGAGTCTGGCTGAGCTGGCATGTACCTTCCAGCCACGACTCTAACAGAGCGTCGGCCCGCTCCAGCATGTCAATCTACCACAGACGTCCTGCCCACCAAATAGATCAAGGTGTCGTACTCAAAGTATTTGGGGGCGCTTGGTTTTGATTGCAGGACCTACGAGCCCAACATCTGTCCAGCGACTCATGTTCGCAGCCCGGCAACATGGCATCAGGAAGCCAAGATCGAAATGGATGTAAAGGTAACAAGGGCCTGTCCTCTGCGCTAAAATGGCGACCCTCATCATGCACTTATACACCGGATGTCACCTTGAGGAGATACATTAAGACAGCCTAGCGACTCTAATACAGAGTCCGGCTGATCCGCTATTCGACCTTTCACTTTCACCCCGCACCGCCGCTGCGGGATCGAAAACAGGTAGTGTTTGCCTCGTAGTTAATTGGCAACGCGCTCGGAGACTTGTTCATTGAGCGCGGGGCTGCAGCTGCAGGGACGTCGAACAGGGCAGAGAATCGAGACGAGCTGACGCACTCGCCAGAGCCATATAGATTTCCTGCCGGTGGCAGTTGCTGCCTCTGCTAATCTAGATAGACTGAGCCGGGTCGAGTCAGTCCATGAGGGGTCAAATTACACTACCCAGGTGCGCCAGGGTTGCCGGCATCTCGTTGCTGGAGTGTGTGCACGGTGCATATGCCCTATTGTTTCTTGCATCCCACCACCTGCGCTGGCTTCTCGTCACCTGTCCGCAACGGGTTTTCTTTCATTCTACATGAGTGCATTTATCATAAGCTCTCGGTCTGATCAGCTTGCCTCCAAGGCTGCCATTGGGAAAGCGCTCTCACCGCTGTTTCCGCGGATCTTTGGTCCGTTGGCTGGCTGAGAGGGGTGGTAGGTGGCTGTTCCAGATGGCGCAAAAGCAAATATTCGCATTCAAGGGATGGGATCCCCTCTGGACTCTCTATTCGTCGCTTCGGAGCGAACATAAAGACAAGCCGGTTTATGATTGGTTGAACTGCGTAAGCCTGTTGACCTGGCCCCCCTTGTTGGTCTCAACATCTTGGGTATTTTGGCTGAAGATGAAATCCAGGGTTCAATCGTGACTTCACAAAGCCACGCTCACCACAACAGAAGACTCGTCAAGGCTCATGGGGTCTCACAATCTGACCAAAGCCGTGCGGCTCTCTGACCCTGTCGACACGACAACTCCCTACGATGTATCAGGCCTCGTCGGCAAGACGATTCTCATCACCGGCGGCGCTCTGGGAATAGGGGCTGCTTTCGCTCGCCAATGGGCTTCCAATGGAGCCAATATTGCTGTTGGCGATATTAACGACGAGGCCGGTCAGAATCTTGTTGCCGAGCTCAGGAGAGATCATCCAAGAGGCGCACACCATTACTTCCATTGCGATGTTGGAAACTGGGACTCCCAGGTGGCGTTCTTCAAGGACACGGCCGCTGCGTCGCCACATGGCGGCATAGACATTGTCGTTGCCAACGCCGGCATCAGCCGCCCCTTGGATAATTCTCACTTCGAGAACCCTATGGCCTGTGCTGACGACCCGGACGCACCCACGAGACCAAGTACCACGACTATCGACATCAATATCACGGCCGCCATGCACACGGCCCATCTCGCCATGTTCTGGCTCCCGCGCAACGGCGGTGCCAACAAGCTCAATGCCGCCAGGAACGCTACCTGGCAAACGGTCGACAAGAGCCGCGACCGCTGCCTCCTGCTTCTGGGCTCTGTGGCCGGACTGGTTCCCTTTGTCGAGCAGACGCAGTATACTATTTCCAAGCATGCCATCACCGGTCTCTTCCGCTGCCTGCGGGGCTCGGCCTGGAAGCATGGCATTCGTGTGAACATGGTGTGCCCCTACTTCATCAGCGGCTCCAACATGTTTCCCGCCGCTGTCGAAGCCGTTCTCCTGTCAGGCGGCGCGGGCGGCGCACAGTTCCCGGACGTCATCGACGCCGCGACGAGGCTCGTGGCGGACGAGACCATCGTCGGCCGGGCGCTGGTCATCGGGCCCAGCGTGCAGGATGGCGAGGGCCCAGCCGCGCTGGAGGGAAAGGCCGAGAAGAAGGCCATCTGGGAATGCTATGCAGAAGACTATACGGACGCCGACATGTTCGTGTGGAGGTGGGTTAACATTGTCAATGCCGTCGAGAAGGCGCGAGGATGTTACGGCGTGGCAGTTGATGTATTGAACATACTTTTCCGGCGGAGATAGAACTACGGAACACGAGCACGGTAGAAGACGAACTAGCTATGCTTTTATTCCGTCGTCACAAGAGCACATTCTGGCTACAAAGTTATGCCTCCACCGTTTTGTCTCAAGCTTCAAGAGATTCGGGCCTTTGCCTTCCGTCAAGTTGATCACGGTAACGTTAGCCGCCGTAGCACGCCATTATTACATATCCATCGTATAGGCCGACACAAGCCCGTGCCGCTTCGCAGCTAGTTGTAACGTACATGAGATCTATGTTCGGACCATGAAACTGAAGCTGAAGCTGCCGCTACAGACGTGGCCACTTTGATATCGTTGCCTACGCGGTTCAACCATGTCGCTTGCGGGCATAGGTACTGAGAGTGATGAAAGGAAGTTCTAGTATAGTAATCGGGTCTATGAAACGCTTAGAAGCTCTTGCACCTTTTCCCCAGCTTGCGAGAACTTTCCAGTTTCTTTTTCCATGCAAGGTATTGTGATTCGAATGGTGATTGCAGCGCTGTG